GCCACGGTGCGTGAAACAGCTAATTCGCGCGCCGCTACTCACCCTCCCTCCCAGGCTCTCGAAACCTGGGAGGGAGGTGGAGATCCCGAGTGGCCGCGGCGCGCAAAACAGCTGATTCGCGCGCTGCTGCTCCCCCTCCCTCCCAGGCTTGAGAGCCTGGGGGGAGGAGGCAGGGCTGGGGATTTGGGGAAGGGGCGGAGTAGAGGCGGGACCGGGGGTGGGGTAATTAAAAAATGGGGGGGGGGAGCCAAAATTGTTTTTGCTTGGGGCGGCAAAAATCCTAGAGCCGGCCCTGGCTGGGGCTCACTGAGAGAGGGGTCATTTGAGGTATTTTATTATTTACATGTAATAAAAAGAAATAAAACAACATTTTTAATGGCTAAAACAAAATAAGAAATCCTCCCCCCATTCAAAAAATTATTTAAAAAAAGGCACAAGGCCCTAGCCACTGAGCTCCCCAGGCCCCATGCTGTGCTCCTCGGGGACCACGCTGACCTGCCCAGGCCCCACGCTGAGCTATCCTGGTACTACGCTGAGCTTCCCGGGGACCACACTGAGCTACCCTGCTACCATGCTGTGGTCCCCTGATATCATGCTGACCTGCCCAAGCCCCACGCTGAGCTGTCCAGGTACCACGCTGAGCTGCCCAGGTACCATGCTGCACTGCCCAGGCCCCACACAGCACTGCCCAGGCCCCACGCTGAGCTGCCCAGGTACCACGCTGAGCTGCCCAGGCACCATGCTGCACTGCCCGGGTACCACACTGCACTGCCTGGGTACCACGTTGCACTGCCTGGATACCATGCTGAGCTCCCCTGATAGCATGTTGAGCTGCCCAGGTACCACGCTGGCCTGCTCAGGTACTACGCTGACCTGCCCGGGTACCCTGCTGACCTGCCCAGGTACCATGCTGACCTGCTGCTAAAGGGAAGCTCCTCTTATGGATCGTAACTGGTTAAAAGACAGGAAACAAAGGATAGGGCAAAATGACCAGTTTTCAGAATGGAGAGAGGTAAATAGTGGTGTTCCTCAGGGGTCTGTACTGGGACCAGGCCTATTCAACATATTCATACATGATCTGGAAAAAGGGGTAAACAGTGAGGTGCCAAAATTTGCAGATGATACAAAACTACTCAAGGTAGTTAAGTCTAACACTGACTGTGAAGAGTTACAAAGGGATCTCACAAAACTGGGTGACTGGAAACAAAATGGCAGATGAAATTCAATGTTGATAAATGCAAAATAATACACATTGGAAAACATAATCCCAACTACACATATAAAATGATGGGGTCTAAATTAGCTGTTACCACTCAAGAAAGAAATCTTGGAGTCATTGTGGATAGTTCTCTGAAAACATCTGCTCAATGTGCAGTGGCAGTCAAAAAAGTAAACAGAATGTTGGGAGATCATTAGGAAAGTGATAGAAAATATCATAATGCCTCTATATGGGCAGGGATGGGGTCCCTAGCCTCTGTTTGCCAGAAGCTGTGAACGGGTGACGGGGGATGGATCACTTGATGATTACTTGTTCTGTTCATTCTCTCTGGAGCACCTGGCATTGGCCACTGTCGGAAGACAGGATACTGGGATAGATGGACCTTTGATCTGACCCAGTGTGGCCGTTCTTATGGATTTATGCATGGGTACCATGCTGAGCTGCCCTGGTACCACGCTGTGTTGACCTGGTACCATGCTGCAATTTGGAGCAGAGGCGAGCAGGGGCACCAAGGGGGCCTACGGGCAGCCAGCTGCAGCAAGGGTGGTGTGTGAGCTGGCTGCCTATGGTTTCAGCATGGAGGCTGAACCTGGCATCTGCTCCAGACTCCTCTGATCATAGCGTCTGGACAACATCTGTCTCCAACTTTTCCTGCCCTCATCACAGGCCAAGGGCATTGGCCCCACCCACTCGGACACTTACCTGATCACAGATGTGCAAGGCAAAGAGCAATGCTGTGAGGCCAGTGGATGGATACCTCCCATGGTGCTGTGTCCACTTGTCATGGATGTATTTGAGAAAGGCAGGGTTCAAGATTAGCACCTGAGAGGAGGAGAACAGAACAGGGCCAATGCTATGAGATTCTGTCATCATCCTACCCAGAAGGCGCAGACCTACCCCTGCTCACTGCTGACACTCCTGTGTGCGTCACTGTCCTGGAAGGGCTAGAGAATATCACAGTGAGAGCCCGTCTGGGACTGTGTGCACAGGGCTGGACACTCATTGATGGGGCAGAGATTAGTACCTAGAAAGGGTGAACTTAGCTCCCATCAGGGCAGGAGCTCTATTGGATTAGTCTGCTCTTCTCTGAGATGAATGGCGCATCCTGGGTCTTGGCATGCTGCGGGCAGTGCGTACCACCCGGTGCACAGCAGGAGAACACGCGCCACAGGGGCAGCCCACTCCTGAGAGCCTTCTGGGACACTGTAACCAGCTGCTGCCGGAAATGGCCAGGCCTGGGAATGCTACTCTTGGCATGCCAGGAGGGTCTGGCAGAGCTCTCGTGCCCTTTGCTGTTTCCGAGCAGCGTCAGGAGCTTGGAGCTCTGCACTGGCTAGCTAGGAAAGATGGAGAGCTCCTGCAGCCAGTTCTGAGGAACACGGTCTATGATGCTGGACTAGTTTGTCGCCTGAACGACTGGATTCCTAGTTTGTCTCAGGGATCCCAGAGCACAACTGGCCATCAGGCCTTTAACATGCTGGAAGCCACTTTACAAGCACCTGCACCAGACTCTAACGTACAGACTTTGTGTCGCCAGCTTCCCACGCAAGCGGGTTCCATGGTTAGTCCTTGGCCACTTGATCAAAGTTTACGGAAATTCTTAGACCCCACCCCCCCACCCCCACCATTAAGCAGTGTCAGGAAACTGTAAATGTCTGGCAATGTAACCGCAAGGGCCTCTGATAACCGTCCTCCCCACAGACTGGCCATCCTCTACCCAGAGTCGGGAAGCAAATGTCCAGCACATGAGGTGGCTGGTGCTGGCTGTGCCCCCAGCCAGCCCTTACCTTGCTTCTGTCGGCTTCAATGAACTGTTTGACTCTTGTGTACGTGCTACAAAGGAAGAGGAAGCATGGTCAGTGGAAAGTGGTGTCTTCCGTACCATATGCATGGCTTTCTTCTGGCCCCTCCCATGACTTCTACAATCCACCAGGGATGAGGCTAATGCCTGCGCAGACCTTCTCGGGAGCTGAATGGCTGCCTCCTCATCGGTGCGTCTGCTGGAGCTGCTGTCTCCTTGGCGCCGTGCACTGACCTCAGCTCAGGAGCCAGGATGCCTTTCAGCACAATGCCATTAAGCCACTGAGCCAGCCCCTGGGCGCTGTGGAGCGTGTCTGAACACCAGTGCTGGAGCCATCAGCCATGAGACATGGCCCTTCCCCAAGGTCTGTACAAATGTTCTCACCCTCTCTAACCTGCTTCAGGTCTGCCCTGTCCTTTGCCACCCTCTGGGGTTCAGTGAACCAAGCCAAACATCATGTCTGGTGTGCGCCCCAGCCTGAGGGGGAGGAGCCCCTGAGCCTATCAACCTCCCAAGGGAGCCACTGAGCCCCCTCAAGGGACAAGGCAGGAGCAATCTAGCTTCCCAGAGCAAAGCCCCCATCCTGGGGGGAGGGGCAGCGCCAGTGTCCTGGGGACCCTCCATCCCTCATCCTAGGGTGGGGTCATCCTTCTGGGGGGCCTCCCGAGTCCCCTCTCCTTGGACAAAGGGGTGAATCAGCTTCCATAAGTCAATGGAGCCTGGGCACCACCTAAGCCCCATCTCGTGTGGGGATTTGTGCTGTGGGCACACTGGAACCCACTGCCCCCTGGGATGAGCCAGCACCCCCAGAGCCCCCTCAGGCGTTGCATCTTGGGGGGACCCCAGAGACTGCTCAACCTCCACCAGAGGCAAATGAGCCATGCCCATCTGGAGCCTCCTGCCTGGGACACTTCCCTCAAAGGATCCCCCCAGCCGATCAGGCCCCATGCTCACTAGCGCAGCTCGCCTGTGGAGAAGGCACTTGTCACCCATTTCAGGTCCAGTGGTTTAAAGGGGACCAGCACCAGGTGGACCCCAGGCTGGAGGTCCACAGCGCTCTCTGGGTACATAAAGCGGTGCGTTGTCCTCGTGCCAACATCCTCCTCGAACCCAGCAGTCTGCGCCCTGTTCATCCTGGGGGCACGAGGAGAGAGCGTGGCTCAGTCTGCTGTAGAATGCCCGGCCATACATGCTGGGACCCTGCACTCCCAGCCTCCCAGGGGCCCTTCCTGGCCAGCTGGGTGGGGATGGGGCTCAGAGCCTGCCCTGGCCAGCTGGGTTAGGATGGGGATCAGGGCTCACCCTGGCCAGCTGAGCAAGGATGGAGACTGGGGCTCGCCCTGGCCAGCTGGGCGGGGATGGGGCTCGGGGCTCGCCCTGGCCAGCTGGGCGGGGATGGGGCTCGGGGCCCGCCCTGGCCAGCTGGGCGAGGATGGGGCTCGGGGCCCGCCCTGGCCAGCTGGGCGGGGATGGGGCTCGGGGCCCGCCCTGGCCAGCTGGGTTAGGATGGGGATCAGGGCTCGCCCTGGCCAGTTGAGCGAGGATGGAGATTGGGACTCGCCCTGGCCAGCTGGGCGGGGATGGGGCTTGGGGCCCGCCCTGGCCAGCTGGGTGGGGGATGGGGATCGGGGCCTAAGTTTCCTCTAAGCTGTGTGGCTATTAAGCACCGCACAGGAGCTCAAGGCTGTGACAGGGAGAGATTCCTCTCCCCTAACCCCGGACCCAACCCAGCCCAGCCACGGACCTGCCGCGGGCAGGAGAGACATGCCCCTCCCTCGGCCCAACCCGGGCCCAGCCTGGACCTGCCGCGAGCAGGGGAGAGGTGCCCCTCCCCCAGCCTCAACCCAGCCCAGGTGCTGCTGCGGGGAGATAGAGCTGCGGGGAGTTCTCTCTCCCCGTCACAGCCCCAGGGCAGCCTGCACCCCCACCTGGAGCCCTCACGCCCCCCCCAACCATCTGCCCCAGCCCTGAGCCCCTCATCCCCGGCCCCATCCCAGAGCTCACGCCCCTAGCCGGCTGGGTGGGGGATGGGGCTTGAGGCCCGCTGTGGCTGGCTGGGTGTGGATGGGGCTCAGGGCCCACTTTGGCCAGATGGGGGCTCAGGGCCTGCCCTGGCTGGGAGGGAAGGATGGGGTATGGTTATTGCTATGGCTGGGAGGATGGGCTGGGGCAAGAGAGCCATCCTGGCCAGCAGGGAATGGGGGGGCTCGGAACTGTCTGTCGTCGTGGCCGGTGCTCACTGGGGCTGCTAGCCCAAGCTGGCTGGTTTTTTACTTTCAGATGTAGCCCCAGAGCTGTGCCCCGCTCTCCTCCAGCAGCTCCCAGATGAGCTGAGGGAAGACAGTGGGCGATGGTGATACAGATTCCAGGGAGTGCCTCCTACACGGCCTGGGAACTCCTTCCCGCCCAATGACCAGGTGGCCCTCAGCAGCCTGGCTGCAGCACCAGGTGCCTCCTCACTGCTTGTTGGGAGGAAACAGCGCTGTTAGACACCCCCGGGGCAGGATAGGGTCCCGGGTTCATCTGCGCCTTTGCTGGGGCTCCATCCCAGGCCTGTGGGCAGAGATTTACTCTGCTCAACCAGAGTGGCTGCAGGGGGCCGGGCCCATTGGAGAGGTGGCTGGAGAGCAGGGGGTGAGCCAGCTCTGTCCCACTCACCTCAGAACCCAGTGGTGGGAGTCGATCTCTCGCCCGTAGTGGGAGCCTCTCAGGCGCCCGGAGTTCCCTACCACTGCACACGTCCTGCAGCGGGAGGGGTCCCAAGCATCCACCATTGGGGATGGGAGAATGTCAAACATTTGCTGGATTATTCCCTGGAGCTGGGCACGGCTCTTCGAGCCCTGCAGCTTCTAAAGGAAGAAGAACAAAGATAGGGCGTGTCTGTGGTGCCACCAAGCCCAATGCCCAGCAGGGTGGTAGGGCCTGGGGGCTGGGAAAGGGCAGGCAATGCCTTCTCTGCAGGGGCCAGAAGAGCTGTGAGCCCAACCCCGCTGTGCTAAGAGGACACACAGCACACCCCAGCTCCTGCTCTGCGACACCCCCTTTTTGCAGTCCTCCCCACCCTGCCTGCGCAACTTTGCCTAGGGCTGCCCCAACCTCCCTGCCAGCGGAGCTCTGCTGGCCACACGGGTGCATCTCCACTAGGTGTGTTGGTGTAATGAAGTTGGGAATTTCTGAATAATTTGTATGACCCTGGTGTGTGCCTCAGTTTACCTGATACATTGCATAGTTACCCAATAGGGGACAAGGATTAAGTTTGCTCTCAGGGCAGACTAAGGGTCACAGGTGTCGACTTTCCAAAGTTTCCCCAACCCGCCCCACCTCTTCCCATCCACACTCCACCCCCACCCCACCTCTTCCTGCCCAGTTCTGCCCCCTCCCCTGAGTGTGCCACATCCTCACTCCTCCCCCGCCCCAGCCTCCCTGCATCCTGTGAAACAGCTGATCGTGGTGGGCGGGAGGCACGGGGGAAGGAGAGGGAGGTGCTCCACCCTCTGGTGGGTGGGAGGTGCTGGGAGGATCTGATGGGGGGGCTGCCGGTGCATGCTCAGCACCCACCCACCATTTTTTCCCCGTGGGTGCTCCAGCCCCAGAGCACCCACGGAGTCAGCGCCTATGCTAAGGGACATAGGTCTGGGTGGACTGACGCGTCATTAAGGAACTGGTTGAAATTCACCCAGTTCAACAACAGGGCCAGAAAAAACAATGCAAGCTCCAGTGCCTCCTGGATTTCGCTGCCTCTCGGCAGGGCAATCAGGCAGAGAGCCCAGTTGAAGACCGAAGGACTGGAAGGTGGGCAGTGGGGCTTCTGGGGGAAGCTGGGAGTTCTCTCACCTGGGAACTGACACAGAAGGGCAAATTGAGAGAGAGACAGAGACTGAAAATAGGGTTCACTACAACATGGCTGGGGCTCTGGGCTGACCAGACTGGACTGTGCTAAGCTTCACTTCTCTATGCTAACCTAAGGACTTCCCATGCTGTGTGCCAGGGGACTAATAAACCCAACTGGTTTGAAACCACTGTTTGAGTGTCCCTGTAAATACTTTGTGAGGTGCGTTAATCCCTGCAGAGTGGACAAGTCTCTCCCAGGAATCTGTCTCAGTTGGACTCACTGAACAGAGCTCACAATATGAAGCAGGAGTACTGCAGCCCCAGAGGTTCAATCTTAGGAGGCAGTGAGACTGGGTGGCCTACCCTGAGGGAAGAGTGAGACCCCTGGGGGTCTGGCACATCAAAGGGTTCCTCCAAGAGACTGTTCTAAAGCTGGGGGTGTAGCACTGAGCTTGTGGCTCCATGAGGTAGCTAACACACAGTCCCATCCCGATGCAGACCAGGTCAGCTGAGCTAACAGGCCAAGTTAACACCGATGGGGAGCCCAGGCTTCCCTCGATCTGTGATCTTGTGGGAACACTCCAAACAGCCTGGCCTTCCCTTGAGTGTGAGTGTCCTAGTGAACACAAGGCCAGAGAGTGCAAGCTCAGCTCACGGGCCCCTGGCTGCTCCCTGCAGCTCCCACTCTCTGGGCTCCCAGAATTGCTCCTGGCAGAGCTAAGCACAGCTGTACAGGCAGCTGCAGGTATCGGAGCAGGGAGCTGCACGCAGTGGACAGAAGCAGCCAGCAGGGACTTGGGAGGGGCCAGCTGAGCAGCTTGCCCTGCAGACCAGAACTGCTGGTAGGCGTGCTGGTCGCTGCCCTTTTCTATCCCAACCTCCTCTTCCCAGAGGGATCCATGTGGGGGTGAGAGGAGCACAGAACAGGCTCTCTGCGTGGGCAGCTGCTTGGGGAATGTGAAAGCACCCTGGCCCAGCCCTATGCCCCCCAGTCAGGGAGCACAGCAGCAGGGGCAAGCACCCATCCCCACTAGTCTCTGCTGGCCTCTTCAGCTGCTACAGCCTGTCTCCTGGGACCAGTCCTACAAAGAAGCCAGCCCTTTTTTTGCTACCCACCCGTGCCATGGTGCCATGCCCCAGTCTACTGCTTTGCCCTTGCCACAATGCTCTGAGGGGCCCAAGGGTGGGCTCTGCCGCCAACGGCCACAGTAGGAGGTGCCTGCATTGGTTTAATTGCTGTGATTCTGTAACTCACCAGCCACCACAACAGAACGTCTGGGGCGATCTTGGAGGTGTGCACCGTCAGCAGGGGATTTATCGCTGAGTCGTACCGTTCATTAAACCAGGCTGAGCTGCTGAGCTCCACAATACAGCTGGCACAGCCACAGGGCTTGGCCTCTGAGACAGACAGAGGCCGCAGCATGTCTCCAAGCCTCCAGGAAGAGCCAGAATGCCCCAGGTACAAGGACTGATGAACCTGCCACAGGACAAGCACTATGCACAGGGCTGCAGCAGCCCACAACTTCCTCCAGTGCTGCATCCTTCACTCCACCATCTCCTCCCTGCAGAACTTCAGTGGGTCCGTTCCATGGGGAGGGGGCCCATGTGTGCTGTTCAGGGTCACTGCCTGTGGGTACCTGGGCCCCGTCGTAGTTTCCCTGCTCTTATGGGATGAACAGGAGCCTTTCCTGGGTAGCTGCAGATCCCCAAGAACAGAAGGAAGGGACAGGCATGTCCAGCACACACAGGAGCCACTGGAGGTTTCCAGCCCTGATCCCAAGTTAGCATTAGCACCAGTCCCCCATAGCTCTGTGCAGGGGGCAGCTTCTTCCAGGCTTTGGCTCTCTCTGTCCCAGCCTGAAACAGACCAGATAACCAGTATCAGTACAGATTACAGTGCCAGGGGAGAGTCTTGCAGTGACTTGCCATCACTCAGGACAGAGTCTGACAGCACTGACGACTAGGCCGAGGACAGGAGGAAGTGATACCTGTATGGTCTGCAGTGGAGTTACACTGTAACTGGACTGGGTGGGAGGATCACACCACAACTGGCACTGATTCTGTGCCAAGATAGTGCAGAACTGAGGCTGCAGTTTTCAAACTTTGGAACCAAAAGTTGCGCACCTCAATCCAGAGGAAAGCTTCCAGCGCTGTGGGCAAGTGAGGTGGAGGCACAGTTCCCGTGAGAGACTTATAAACCCTCCTGTTCATCTGTGTCATAGCCACATCTCTGGGTAGGTCATCCCTATGGGACCTAGCTGAGCTACAGGGTCAGAGCTAAGGTGGTTTGAATGTTCCGGCTTTCATGTGTTTCTTTCTGTAATTAAAATGCTCCAATATGTTTTTCTAAGTAATGTAAATGTATTTGTAATTTATTGTTACGGTAATGGCCGCCAGGGAGAGCGGAGCCCCGGCCGAGCTCTCCGCCCTCCTCCCGGGCGCGCCGGCCGGTTGGGGAGAGCGGCCGGCGGCCCGGCTCGGCGCCCTCCCCTGCCGCGCTGGGGGACAGGGGGGGGGGGGGGAGGGGGGCCGGAGGCTTTTTTTGCCTTGGGTGGCAAAAAAGCCAGCGTCGGCCCTGGTAAGTAGATCAGGAAATGTCTAGGAAGACACGATTAGGTTTATCTCTTTTTATTTCTTTATGGCTTGTGGATTCCTCTGTGCTAACCCCAGGTGCGTTTGTTTTGCTTGTAACCTTTAAGCTGGACCTCAAGAAAACTATTCTTGATGCTTAATTGTCGTAATTGTTTTTTTTTAACCTAGCAAAAGCCTAAGTTCCCAGATGTATTTTCTCTCTTTTTTTATTAATAAAATTTATCTTTTTTAAGAATAGAATTGATTTGTGTGTCTTAAGAGGTTTGTGCACATGCTGTGTAATTAGCTGGTGGCAACAGCTGATTTCCTTTTTTTTCCCTTTCTCAGCTCTTCCCCGGAGGGGAGGTGAAAGGGCTTGAGGGAACCCCACAGGAAGGAATTCCCAAGTGCTCCTTCCTGGGCTCTCAAAGGGGTTCTGCACTTGGGTGGTGGCAGCATCTACCCATCCAAGGTCAGAGAAAAGCTGTAAGCTTGGGAGTTTAATACAAGCCCGGAGTGGCCAGTATTAATTTTTAGAATCCTTGCAGGCCCCACTTCTGCACTCAGAGTAACAGAGTGGGAATCAGCCTTGATAGAGGCAATACAATTTCCAGGCACATGGATAGCCAGTGCAGGGTTCTGGGGGGTTCCATGGTATCATAGAGGTTAAGGCCAGAAGGAACCTCCTGCAGGTCACTAAATATCACCCACTACAGAAAGGATGTGGACAAATTGGAGAGAGTCCAGCGGAGGGCAACGAAAATGATTAGGGGGCTGGGGCACGTTACTTATGAGGAGAGGCTGAGGGATCTGGGATTATTTAGTCTGCAGAAGAGAAGAGTGAGGGGGGATTTGATAGCAGCCTTCAACTACCTGAGAGGGGTTCCAAAGAGGATGGAGCTAGTCTGATCTCAGTGGTGGCAGATGACAGAACAAAGAGTGATGGTCTCAAGTTGCAGTGGGGGAGGTCTAGGTTGGATATTAGGAAAAACTATTTCACTAGGAGGGTGGTGAAGCACTGGAATGGGTTACCTAGGAAGGTGGTAGAATCTCCATCTGTAGAGGTTTTTAAGGCCTGGCTAGACAATGCCCTGGCTGGGAAGATTTAGTTGGGGATTGGTCCTGCTTTGAGCAGGGGGCTGGACTAGATGACCTCCTGAGGGCCCTTCCAACCCTAATCTTCTATGATTCTATGATCCTGGTACCCCTGGTTTGAGCCCCAAGACTTGAACTAGACCAAAGCATTTCAGTCCTCAGGAGACTAAGCTGTTGTGTGTAAAAAGCAGCAAATGGGAGCAGCTGAGGGGGTGAGGACTTGTTCCTAGGGAGCTCTAGACTCTAAAGCCCTTGCCCTCCCTCCATCTGCCCGGCGCAATGGGAGCCGACCCTTCCCCAGCTGCACTTGGCCACGCCACGGGCCTGGGTGAAGACCAAGCAAACGCTGCTCCTCTGAGGAAAGATGCAGTCAGTGGAGAGCCAACATGGGGTGGCCGCCTCATGCAGCCCTGGTGGCTGATTTAAAACAACAAAGAGCCGACCCAGGCTGGAGGCACCGCATCCAGGAACCTGCTCCCCACCTGAGCGAGTGGGACAGTCTCCCTGCCCCTCCCCCCAGTCCGCCAAGATGCTGGGCATGCCGGCAGGGCCCGTGTGCTGGCACATGGCCCTGCGGACTGCGTTACAAAGACGCTGCTGTGCCAGAGCAGAATGTAGGCCCCGTACTTGCGCTGCTGCACACTCACCTGGGGGGGAGGGGGAGCACCTCACCCGGCGGCACTAAGACGTGAAGATGACAAGTGAGCGTCCCAGCCTCAGAGGCTGCGGGGGGGCTTCAGCATGCCCCTTGCAGCCCCCAGCACTCTCCCTGCTCGCTCACTGTGCTGGGCGGGGAGCACACTTCCGTTCTCTGAACAGGAACTATTTGTGCAGAGCACAGGGGATATCTGCAGCCCAGAAGCCTGATAACAACTCAGCCCTGTGGAAATGGCCTAAGGAACATGCGCATTGAGGTCTGACTGACAGCATCCCAGGGCTACCAGAGCAGGGCAGGAGAGCTTGTGCTGGGCTGAGTGATCACTGTGGGGTTTGGGGAGCCATTACTACAGGTGCTTTCCTAGCCACCCCTCAGAGTGGGTTCTGGGACTGCCACACAGCTCCCATGGAGCAACCCTGCACAGGCCTGGCCTTCCCTGGCACCCTCAGGGAGGGAGAAGCCAGAACACCCTGCAAAGCCACATGGCTCTCAGCCCCTTGGCTGCATGGACCCATGCAGCAGGGCTCCCCAGACAGTCCCATAGGGCCCTCTGCGCCAGGGGGCAGACACAAACCTTCTGCCCCTACCGAGGGAATCTTGTGGCTGATGCCCCTTCCCCACTGGTGATCCAGACCCCACAGGATCCCAGAGAGCAGCGTATGCCAGGGAGGTGCTGTCCCCTCCCCACAACCCTCTGCAAGGGTGCCAGGGTGATGGCCCCCCACAGCACAGTGTCCAGGCCAGCATATGCCTCCTAGGGCACTGCAGACCTCAGTCCCACAGGGATAAAGGTCGATATGCTCAAAATCTAATGGCTGGGTTTGGGCTCCGCCTTCTCCTTGGGATGTGCACACGCACCCCTCCTCCAGCCCCCGTCTCTCCTGCCGTCCCTGTTCCGCCCCCCCTTCCAGCAGCTGGTCCAGCATGGAGCTGCTCTGGTTTTCCCCACCCCTGCTGCTGTCACGGGCACATTGTCGCTGCTACCCAGCCTGAGGAAGTCGGGGAACGGGGTCCTGCCGGGCAGGTTCCCAGCCCAGGGAGGAGGCCCATGGGGCTGCTGATGGGGGAGGGGCTGCCTGCAGAGATGAGGCGGGGAAAGGAATCCCATGCTGAGCAGCCTCCCAGTGAGTGCCTCTCCTCCAGCCCGTGGAGAACCCGTGCAGGCAGCTCCCCCAGCCCTTGGGCATGGGTGGAGAGTGACTCCAACAGTGGCTTGGCTGCAGCACACCAGGCCTGGCACACAGCTCTGCTCCCAGCCATTCTCACTCCCCCAGGCAGGCAGGGCAGGGCCATTACTGGATCTGGAGGAAGAGATGGGGTACAACCCTAGGGACAACTCTTTCAAGCCACAAAGTAGTTCCCAATGGGTGGCACAAGGATGATTGTCCCCAGCGGCTCCCTTGGCCTATTACCGAGCCAGTGGTTCTCAAACTGTGGGTTGGGAGCCCAAAAGTAGCTCACGACCCCGTTTTCATGGGCTCACCAGTGATGGTGTTAGACTTGCTGGGGCCCGGGGCTGAAGCCACCACCCGAGGCCGAAACCTGAGTCCCACCTCCGAGGGCCGAAGCCAAAGCCTGAGTCCCACTGCCTGTGGCCCCAACCCAAGCTCCACCACCTGGGGCTTCAGCCCTTGATGGTGGTAGTGGTGGGGGTCAGGCTTCGGCTTCAGCCCTGGGTGGCGGGGCTCAGGTTACAGGCCCCCCCACCTGGGGCTGAAACTCTTGGGCTTCAGCTTTGGCTCCCCCACTTGGGGTGGCAGGGCTCAGGTGGACTCAGGCTTTGGTTCCCCCCGCCTGGGGTTGTGTAGTAACTTTTGTTGTCAGAAGGGAGTCACGGTGAAATGAAGTTTGAGAACCGCTGATAGGCTGCCTGCCTCTCCCACTGGCCAGAGTTCAGTCTTATCACCTGTGCTCACACTGGGGCCTGCATTGCTCTCCCGCCATCCAGCCAGAGCCACCACCCCTCTGAGCCATAGCCTGCATCCTGGCACAGTTCTCAGATTCTCCCCCAGTTCCTGGGAGGCTGCCTCTGCTCACACATAGCCGCTGGCTTGCTCCTTGGGCCTGATCCTCATGCCTACCCCAGACTGAGCCTATCCCACAGGGCATCCTGGGAAGGGCAGGGAGCCACATCAGCTTTCATGCTCTCGGGGACACCAGAAGAACGGCACAGCAGCCTTGGAGGTCTCATTCCCCAGAGAAGTGCAGTGCTCCAGATGCGTACACAATGGTGAGGGCACATATTTCCTGAAACTCAGCCTCACTGGTCGCATATGAAGGTATAGATAGAGGTGACAGTGTACGGTGTACTGGTATTATGGTGGCACAGTAGCAAACCCATTGTTAGGCATTTCTTTTTAACAGGAGTGAATGTCACAATTTGTTTTTAGAAGTGTTGCAAAAATAGATATGAACAAAATGTAGTCATTAAAATAGTATATTTGATTTTTCTGTGGTGGACTGGTGCAGGTCAGATTGATACAAACAGAATACTAAGATTTCAAAAGTGGCCACTTGCAAACTATGTGACTGGGGCATCTCACCATTACTCAGATCCTTTTTGCAAAATCAGTAACATTCTGGGGTGTGCTTGTGTCTTACTCAATATTTCCATATGCTAGTTGGGACCGTGCCATCAAGAAAGCTGTCACATCCTGCCCTTTATGGGTTTTCACGGTTTTACTACTTCCTAACAACCACACGAAGCCAGTGTATTTGTTTCTCTTTCCGGCAGGGCAGTAGAGGTGACACAATGCTGCTGGGACAGAACTTGCTCAAGTAGAAGATAAGCCGGCCTGTTTCCTGCGTGGGCATTATTCTATTCAGGACTGGTAATGCAAATAACCCTGAGCATGCTAATTGGATTTTCCAAGGTGTAGTAAATAAAGGCACAAGGGGCATATATATATATATATGAAGGGCCACTGAGACCGGTGGAAAATTTGCTAACAAAACTGTTTTCCACAGAAAATTGGATTTTCAATAAAACAATTTTTTTGAAAGTATCTGCATCCTCTGGAAAATTTAGATATTTTCATTAAAAAACATCACCCCACAAACTGAAAATTGGGAGATGATGTTGCAGCGCCTCTTAGTTGTAGTTTGGTGCCTTGTCCACATTTTCCTCTGTGGTCCAGGCTCACCTAGCTAAACTACATCTCCCATGCTGCACCATGGCCAGGGATTACCATGATTCACTGCCTCGCCTTCCCAAGAGGAAGACCACAGTGCATCGTGGGAGACACAGTCAAACCCCAGAGTCCAACCTACAAAGGTGAATGGGAGCACAAGCCACCTGAACCCCAGCTCCTATGAGGCATCGCAACAGGATTCCTAAGTCAAATCTTTTGGTTTTCAGCTGAATTCTTTCCATTTTTGACTGGTTTTTTTTGGTATTTCCATTTCCACTGAAAAATTAAAATTTTCCAAAGAAAATTTAGAAAAAGATGATTTTCCCTCCATTTTCATTACATTTTCCACATCAAGTCCCATTTTTCAACCGAGTGACAGCTCCAGCCTGAATACCACCTGTGCAGTCCCTGCTGCCTTCCCTTGTGGGGCTGACATACCGGCTGTTCATGAAGGCTCAGGCAGCACAACTGCACCATTGCCTTCGGTCACTGTGCATCAGAGCCAACAAAACAGGTGGGACGAGCCAGATGCACAGATCCACCCTTCCCAGGCACTGACTGCCGGCAACGCTCACGCCCAGCCTTGTCTCAGCCCTGTGTGCGCTGGGCGCTGAGGCTGTCCACAGCCCTGTACAGGGATGCTGGGAACTTGTCAGGAACAGAGGAGGGCAGAGGAGAAGCAGAACTCAGAGGGAAGGGGGCTGTTATTGGGGATGCATAGTTGGGGAGCACCCATGGAAGCCAGCTGCTTCCCAAAGCCCCATCCTGCAACTGCAGTGCAAGAAAGGGTGACAGCAGCCAGCGTTGGGTGAAACTGCCAGGTCCTGGCACACATCCCAGCTCAAAGGAGAGGAGCATGGAGGCTGACTGTGGTTATGACCCTACCCCCCACAGACCAATGACACAGTGGTGTGCACTTGGCTTTGGCCAAGGCCTACCCCTCTACCTTCACAGCTTCCCCACCCAGCTCACAGCAGTGTGTGCGCACGGCCCCCCTGCAGGGTGGCAATTGCTAGCGAGTATGTGAATGGCTTTGGGGCTCATTAGGCAGGGGTGGCTACAGGTCCTTGGTGAGTCCCTTGGATGGCGCACGGTGCTTTGGAGACAGGGTTTCCCCAGCTGAGTACTGGGATTATGATAGACAGTGGGAAGAGGTGGCATGTGACTCAGGTGTATCCAATGCCAGATACTTAGGGGAGTGGCATAGCCACTTGGCCTCTGTGGCTTCGTTTGCTGTGGGAAAGGATGTAGTGCAGGCTTGTGCCTGCAAACCGGAGCAGGATGGGGTGTGTGTGTGAGGGGTCTTTTTTCCTTCTCCCCTTTCTTCTCTCACATATTTTAGCAGTTGAAAGAGTAGTGTGTGAGGTTAAAACAGGTTAAAAGAAAGCAGAAAGCCTACAAGGAATGGAAGATGGGATGGATCAGCAAGGAAAGCTACCTCTTGGAGGTCAGAAAGTGTAAGGAAAAAATGAGAACTGCAAAAAGCCAAGGAGAGTTGGACCTTGCAAAGGAAATTAACACCAACTGTAAAAGGTTCTATAGCCATATAAATAAAAGAAATAAAACAAGGAAAGAAGTGGGACCGCTAAGCACTGAGGAAGGAATGGAGATTAAAGATAATCTAGGCATGGCCCAACACTTAAACAAATAGTTTGCCTCCGTTTTTAATAAGGGTAATGAAGAGTTTGGGGTAGTGGCACAGTGGCTAATGGGAATGAGGAGACAGAAGTAGAAATCACCACATCCAAGGTGTAAGTCAAATTCAAACAGTTTAATGGGACCAAATTGTGGGGCCTGGACAATCTCCACCCAAGAATATTAAAGGAACTGGCACATGAATTTGCAAGCCCAATAGTAACAATTTTAAAGGAATCCCTAAACTCAGGAGCTGTACCCTATGACTAGAGAATTGCTAATATAGTACCTATTTTTTTAAAAGGAAAAAAAGTGATCCAGGAAACTACAGGCCTGTTAGTTTTACCTCAATTGTATGGAAGGTCTTGGAACAAGCTTTGAAAGAGAA